TAAATAGTTTTTCTTTCACTTGCCTGGTAAAAAAAGGCACCCAAAAGCATTTATTACGGCTCCTGTCAAGTTCGCTCAAAACACTCCTACCGTACGATGGCGGACACGCCACTTTTACATGCACACATTTTAGTTTAAATATCAAAAGTGTGTGTGTGTGTAAACAAGTGATTTCTGCAGGTGTATAAGCAATATATATATAATATATATAATGAGTCCAGATATTTCTTCTTGCCAAAACTCCTTTATCTGCACAAGATCTTTTGCCGTACAACGGTGTACAATGAAAACTATGTTTTCATTCTACACCTAAGGAGCCGTGTGCATGTACCGGGGCCTAGTTATAACAATGTGTCTGGCTTGGCCGACAACGACAAACACTGGTTGTGAACCAATTTGCTGTACAGATACACTCGCCCTTTTCCGACACCTTATAATTTACCTGCCATCCCCTATCCCCATACCAGTATGACTGACCCCCAAGTAGGATCATAAGAGAACTAGTCAGTGGAGTTATTTTGGTCGTCCGGTTGTTAGTTTGGGTTTGAGCAACTCCCATGAGCCGGTCAGAAAATGATTTGATACCTTATCCTATGGTTAAACGAAGTTATTTCAGTTGGAGCTTTGGTATTAACGTATGCCTTGAAGGTATATTATACGCAAAATATGGTCACCATAGTCGTGGTGGGCGGCGAGCTGTCTAAGGCGCCAGGCTAGTGATCCAGCGATTTGAAGGTGCCGGGATCGAGCCCACCTGTGACCGCGTGTAAAAACCTTGGAGTCAACTTTGTGTGCAGACTCTTTCAGTGTTGTCACAACCTCTGTTCAAACCTGTGTGCTTTGTCCACAACCCCAAAACACTTAGTTGAGGGTACAGCAACGTGCAGCAAACTTGGAAAACGTACTGTGACTATGTGTCACAGTCCACCCACATGAATACGTGCAAACACCTAGTTGCGTGTACCGCAACGTGCAGTAAAACATGGACAAAGTACTGTGGCTATGTGTCACAGTCCAGCCAGTTGTGAATGGGTACCTCGAAAGGATGGGAAAGTCACTTTAACGTGATGCGCCTAGTGGCTGCATGAGTTGTATGATCCCAAGGGAGTTCAGATTGAAAAATACGATGTGCCGTTGATATTGACATCCAATGATCTTGGGAAAACTGGGGTGGACTATAGCGCTATATAAATATCTATATAATAATATTAGTCAGATTTTCAAATAAGTTTTTCCCTATTGCAATAATCGTTATTCATGAACTCACGCATGTACATTTTTATAATCATGCATAGCCTATTGTTAACATTAGGGGTGACTATTGAGATGGAAACAACTATCGCGATAGCGATAGTCTATTGCAACATGCTATTGCGATAGCGATAGTCTATTGCAACCAACTATTGCGATAGCGATAGTCTATTGCAACATGCTATTGCGATAGTCTATTGCAACATGCTATTGCGATAGCGAAAGTCTATTGCAACCAACTATTGCGATAGCGATAGTCTATTGCAACCAACTATTGCGATAGCGATAGTCTATTGCAACATGCTATTGCGATAGCGAAAGTCTATTGCAACCAACTATTGCGATAGCGATAGTCTATTGCAACATGCTATTGCGATAGCGAAAGTCTATTGCAACCAACTATTGCGATAGCGATAGTCTATTGCAACATGCTATTGCGATAGCGATAGTCTATTGCAACCAACTATTGCGATAGCGATAGTCTATTGCAACATGCTATTGCGATAGCGATAGTTTATTGCAACATGCTATTGCGATAGCGAAAGTCTATTGCAACCAACTATTGCGATAGCGATAGTCTATTGCAACCAACTATTGCGATAGCGATAGTCTATTGCAACATGCTATTGCGATAGCGAAAGTCTATTGCAACCAACTATTGCGATAGCGATAGACTATTGCAACCAACTATTGCGATAGCGATAGTCTATTGCAACATGCTATTGCGATAGCGATAGTCTATTGCAACCAACTATTGCGATAGCGATAGTCTATTGCAACCAACTATTGCGATAGCGATAGTCTATTGCAACCAACTATTGCGATAGCGATAGTCTATTGCAACCAACTATTGCGATAGCGAAAGTCTATTGCAACCAACTATTGCGATAGCGAAAGTCTATTGCAACCAACTATTGCGATAGCGATAGTCTATTGCAACCAACTATTGCGATAGCGAAAGTCTATTGCAACCAACTATTGCGATAGCGAAAGTCTATTGCAACCAACTATTGCGATAGCGATAGTCTATTGCACCCAACTACATGTATTGCGAAAGTTGTTTTCTCCTTGAATTGTCTCATTTGAAGTCATTTCCCAAATGAATGTATAGTTAATATGAAATATAAACGAGCTGAAGTAGTTTCAGTCTCTTTTGATAACTCTCAAGAAACTTGTTTAACAGGTAAGTCTAAATCAAAGTGAACGAATCTGGTTACTTCGGAAGTTCCTGTATTTTGCGCTGTGCATTTATCAACGGAAGTCAGTTACTAAACTATCGATAGTCACACATAGTATGGATGCATCGATAGTTTTTCGTTTCTCCCTTCGGAGACTCAACAACTGCAATCCATCGATACTTCGATGCATCGTTATAGCCCTAGTTAACACCTCTTGAACTTCTACATGCAGACCGCCTCCGTGGTGTAGTGGTTAGAGCGTCCGCCCGGAGAGCGGAAGGTCGCAGGTTCGATACCCGACCGCGTCATACCAAAAGACGTTAAAATATGGTACTTGTTGGTCCCTGCCTGGCGCTCGGCATTAGTGGGTACAACAAGGACTGGTCGGCTCGGAGTCAGTATAATGTGTCTGAGTGGGGTATTCCTGCTTCACTGCGGCATGGTATCTCAGTGAGCTGGCACTATAAAACCAGCTTCAGTCTGGGCTAGTAGAAGCAGCCGCACATACACATACACACACACGCATGCACGTCGTCATATGAGCGAAATATTCTCAAGCACGACGTTAAACCCAATTTCACCTCACCTCTACATGCAAATGGGCGCTTCGTTTTATCCTTGAAAGTTTTAAAATTGCTATTGACTAACAGCAATGTACTGTTTCAGTGTTAACCTCTTGTCCCAGTTACCAAAAAAGTCATGAGTGCATGACGTGGCAGTACCGCGTTATATATTCTCATGGAAACTAATAAGGGAACACATGACAGAATTTCACACACAGTGCAATACACACCTTGTGAAGAAACCTGGGAAAGAATAAAGGAACACTTGTACTTTCATGTGTCCCCTTATTTGTTTCCATGAGTATATTTTAACACAGTACAAAATGTTTACAAAACGGTTAACAAGTCTTGGGAGGAGGCTCAGATGAGTGAGTGAGTGAGTTTAGTTTTAAGCCGCACTCAGCAATATTCCAGCTACATGTATATGGCGGCGGTCTGTAAATAATCGAGTCTGGACTAGACAATCCAGTGATCAACAGCATGAGCATCGATCTAAGCAATTGGAAGCCGATGACATGTGTCTGCCAAGTCAGCGAGCCTGACCACCCGATCCCGTTAGTCGCCTCTTACGACAAGCATAAGTTACTGAAGATCAAAATAATAATTTCTAACCCGGACCTTCACGGGTAGGAGGTGAGGTGAAATTGGGTTTAACGTCGTGCTTGAGAATATTTCGCTCATATGACGACGTGCGAATGTGTATGTGCGGCTGCTTGTACTAGCCCGGACTGAAGCTGGTTTTTAGTTCTAGCTCACTGAGATACCACGCCGCAGTGAAGCAGGAATACCCAACTCAGACACATTATACTAACTCCGAGCCGACCAGTCCTTGATGTACCCATTAATGCCGCACGCCAGACAGGGACCAACAAGTACCATATTTTAACGTCTTTTGGTATGACGCGGTCGGGGATCGAACCCGCGACCTTCCGCTCTCCGGGCGGACGCTCTAACCACTACACCACGGAGGCGGTCTTCACGGGTAGGAGGCTCTGATAGCATGTTGTTACTTAACAGTGCATATAGAACTGATGAGTGAGTGAGCGAGTATGGTCTTACGCCGCTATTAGCAATATTCCAGCGATATCACGGCGGGGGATAGAAATGTAGGGAATCGAACCGGGGTCCTCGATGTGACGAACGAACGCTTTAACCACTAGGCTACCCCACCGTCCCTAATGCAACATCACGACGGGGACACCAGAAATGGTGATGCTCAGTGGTATCCTATGGTTGGATTGCTGGTAAAATGTCCATTATTTCAGCGGCAGCGAGTGGAATCGCGAGTTTCGAGAATTCCTGCAAGTGCCCAACACTATTCTGGAAACACGAATGGAGACAAGACTGTTTGAAAACAATCTTCGTGAAAACATTTCGGACATTCGTGAGTGTATTAACATTAATAATAGACGCTGCTGTCATGTATTTGACATTTTATATTTTTATTGTAAACCTAAACTGAGTGAGAAACCTAAACTGAGTGATTCAGTAAATTATACACTGATTATCATCCTCGATAATCTCCAGGGTATACGTTACGATCACTCTCCACTATACCCTGGATGCATCAAATTTGAACGAAATCGGTGAAGAAATGGATTTTTTAGAAATTCTCCCGCTACACTCATTACATAAAATACACAAGTGTGTTCTCTCTAGCGGGAGAATTTTCTAAAAAATCCATTTCTTCACCGATTTCGTTCAAATTTGAAATATAAGTTACTCATAACATGTGAAAACAATATACGGTTGCAAAAATCTAGATTTTTATTTTTAAAAATTATTGTCCAAACAGTGATTCGAACCCCTGTGTGTTGTAATGTAACTGCAACATTGTTCAAATAAATCATCTAGCTCACTCACTCAAATGTGATGAGTTGTGTTGTGTATAAAGTTTAGAGTATGCAGGTAGAAACGTATGTTACCATGTTATCAGTTTTCAGTTATCAATGATTAAAGTGATCATGCCTCCATTTGTCTATACCTAAGCAGGAACACCATAAAAACGTCATTTTCAACAATATTTTATTTCCAATTATGTGTCATAACTTGTTAACAATGGCACCGGAGAGGGTATCCAAACTTTGTCTTTCTGTATCGAAAGATTTGGAGAATAGCCCACGAGGTACGAGTGATTACGGGAAATATGTCCCGAGTTAAATTAAGGTTTCCCGCAATCACTCGTACCTCGTGGGTTATTCTATTTATCACCCATTCTGTAATTAAACCATGAAACATGAAGCATTTATGAAATCAAAGCCGCATCTTCTTATGTAAGTGTTTACAACTAAATCAGGTAATCTGTATTAATGCGCAAATGAAACCAAACTGCTCAAGTTAAATGGAATCGCATTCGAACCACAATATAGTGCTGTATAAAACGATATGAAAAACAACGCAATTAAACAGTTTCCAAATTCCTTTGATGGCGATTTTATTAACCACACCCCATTGTAAAGTTTAAGTTCATTTTCAACGAGTACAATCACATATTCAATATTTAGTCGTAGATCGCAACTGTGTCGATCTAGCCTACTCGTGTCAGAAAGTGGGTGACTGTTGTTGGATACAAAACAGCAAAATCCTGTCAATCTATTTTAACATAAAACAGTGAAAATCTGCAAGGGAACAATAAAACGCAGGGTTGGTGAATTTTTTTTTTAAGAAGACGATACACAATTATGAATTTTTGTCAACATTTTGTTGAAACGCACTGTGACCTAGTTTTGGTTCACGTCAGTGTCCTTGTCAGGAACGATAACTCTAAACTTAGTCCGAGTCCGAGTCGACAACAGATTTCGTTCGCAGCCACAACGTTTTCGTATGGGTAATAAACGTAGCTGAGCGCCACAGTGATCAACCGATCAAGACAAAGATTATAACACATTGACAGAACAAATTAGAACAAAGGTTAAAGCGGAAACCAATCAAAACAGGTTTAACTGTACATCTCGCAGGGCGACATAACCACGTGACAATGACGGTTGCCATACTTAGGTTTGTAACGGACATTTCAATACATTAATAATCATTCAGATAAATTTTTTATAACTTTTGTTAGTTCGCAATTTGTTTTATTTGACTTATATGTAAATGCGTATATAAACTTTCTTGTGCGCATTTTAAAAGCTGATGAATACTGGCTGAATGGAGAGAATGAATAATTGGCAGACACAAACATACTTTTCCAATACACACACTCGATGATAACAAACAATACATAAGCATAATCTATAAAACAGACAAAATCATGTGATGACATGTGTACAAATGTTCGTAACCCACTCGTACAAGCCTTCGTTGAAGTTACGGAAAGGGGTGAGTGATGACGAATGTGTTAAAAAACATTAAGGCGTGTTATTCAAGGTATCTTTGATAAGGACACGGAAACACGGAAACACTCACAGTCTAAAATTGTATCACGGCAACAGTTAATGTCATAAAGAATTTCAATGAAGTGGATTCTAGAGTGATTCTAGAAGAATATGAAATTACCATAATGGCCAATAGTGAAACAAGCGTGTCTGAGGGTGACATCATGACGGGAACCCGAGAAGATCCGGGTTAGAATTGATCTTCAGCAACCCATTCTTGTCGTAAGAGGCGACTAACGGGATCGGGTGATCAGGCTCGCAGGCTCCCAATTGCGTAGATCGATGCTCATGCTGTTGATCATTGGATTGTCTGGTCCAGACTCGATTATTTACAGAACGTTGCCATATAGCTGGAATATTGCTGAGTGCGTTTTGAGTCCGTGGAGACTTCGTGAGAATAGACGAACCGGAAGGAAGGAAACTGATCATTCTGTTTGCGCAGGTACAGTTTGCCTACGGCGTACTTTACAACGCACGTACTTTGGCATCAGAATGAGGCCGGGTTCCCAGGTGGCGGGGTTGCAGGACGGGAGGGGTTCGTCGTCGGGGGGTAATATGTCAAATTCTTGAAAAATCGAAGCAATGAACATGAAGATTCGTGACCGAGCAAAGTTCTGTCCTGGACAGCTGCGCTTCCCTATCCCGAACTGCACAAACCTGGAACAAATGATGCTTTTATCAAAACATGCAAAATATTATCCTGACACCTGCTAGTTAAAAGGTTCAATCGTCTTAATTTGAACATATACTTTTTTCAATATTATTTTTCAATTATTTCTGTATTAGAAATATGAGTGAGTGAGTGAGTTTTCAAGGTTTATTGTGCAGGTAACCTTCGGTACAAATGCAACAGTACATGCTAACCCTTTTTCTGAACACCTAAAGTCCCATTCATACACTTTTCAGAACTATTTTTTTACGCATAACTGATTCTGTTTAAGCAAACAAATCAAGACTTTTTTTTCTGGTGAGGACGTTTAGGATTTACTTTTGTCTGGCATCATTAAGAGGACTGACGAGGCTCCCATCTTCTTCCAGGAACCTCTCTGGACGGAACTGCCATGGCTCCTTCCACTGGGTGGGATCATGGTTCATATAGTACAGGTTCGGTAGGAGCTAAAACCACAGAGGACCATCATTTGTGATAGTGAGTGAGTGAGTTACATAGGCAGTATTTCAGTCATATTCATTAAAACTATTATTAGTTTAGCATTTGCTGAATTGTATTGAAAGACGAGTGGGTTTAGTTTCACGACGCTTTTAACAATATTCCAGCTATATCACGGCGGGGGACACCAGAAATAGGCTTCACACATAAAACCCATGTGGGGAATCGAACCCGGGTCGAGAGAACGCTTTAACCTATCGGCTACCCTACAACCCCCATTAAAAGACGACAGCAGCAATATTTAAGTTAATGTTTGACTTGACAGAGCTAGTATAGTTTGTGAGTTTGATTTTACACCGCTTTAGCAATATTCAAGCGAAAGAAATAGGTCATTTATGTGAGGAACCATACACCATGCTTACCATAGACTTTTCTGGGATACGGCATCCATTGTATTCGATCTCTTCTCTGATCATGTGTGGTAACCCCAAAGGGAGCTGGCTCGTGTATCGCATCATTTCAAATAAAAAGGCATCAAAGTAAGGCGTGTTCATATGGTCTTTCAGACTAGGTACCCTGTCCCCAATGGCCTCGCTGATCTCCTTCTGAAGCTTCTGCTGGATGTCCGGTCTGTGGAGGATCATCAGCATCATACCAAGCAGGGTGGACTTGGACGTCACGTACCCTGCAGGAGGTACCCAAAGTAAGATAAGTATTCAGGGTGGATATAGACACCACGTACCCTACAGGAGGTACCCAAAGTAAGATAAGTATACAGGGTGGATATAGACACCACGTACCCTGCAGGAGGTACCCAAAGTAAGACTGACTGAGTTTGGTTTTACGCCGCTTTTAGCAATATTCCAGCAACATCACGGCGGGGGACACCAAAAATGGGCTTCACACATTGTACCCATGTTGGGATTCGAACCCGGGTCTTCGGCGTGACGAGCCAACGCTTTAACCACTAGGCTACCCCCCGCCCCTCCCCCCCCCCCAAATAAAATAAGTATGCAGGGTGGATATAGACACCGCGTACCCCACAGGAAGTACACAAAGTAAGGTAAGTATGCAGGGTGGATATAGACACCACGTACCCTACAGGAAGTACGCAAAATAAGGTAAGTATACAGGGTGGATATAGACACCACGTACCCTACAGGAAGTACACAAAGGAGGGTAAGTATACAGGATGGATATAGACACTACGTACCCTGCAGGAGGTACCCAAAGTAAGATAAGTATACAGGGTGGATATAGACACTACGTACCCTACAGGAAGTACACAAAGTAAGATAAGTATACAGGGTGGATATAGACACCACGTACCCTACAGGAAGTAAATAGTAAGATAAGTATGCAGGGTGGATATAGACACCACGTACCCTACAGGAAGTAAATAGTAAGATAAGTATACAGGGTGGATATAGACACTACGTACCCTACAGGAAGTACACAAAGTAAGGTAAGTATGCAGGGTGGATGTAGACACCACGTACCCTACAGGAAGTACGCAAAATAAGGTAAGTATACAGGATGGATATAGACATTACGTACCCTGCAGGAGGTACCCAAAGTAAGATAAGTATACAGGGTGGATATAGACACTACGTACCCTACAGGAAGTACACAAAGTAAGATAAGTATACAGGGTGGATATAGACACCACGTACCCCACACGAAGTTCATACAGTAAGATAAGTATAGAGGGAGGATATAGACACCACGTACCCTACAGTAAGTAAATAGTAAGATAAGTATGCAGGGTGGAAATAGACACCACGTACCCTACAGGAAGTACCCAAAGTAAGATAAGTATGCAGGGTGGATATAGACACCACGTACCCTACAGGAAGTACACAAAGTACGATAAGTGTGCAGGGTGGATATAGACACCGAGTACCCTACAGGAAGTACACAAAGTAAGATAAGTATGGAGGGTGGATATAGACACGACGTACCCTACAAGAAGTACACAAAGTAAGATAAGTATGTAGGGTGGATATAGACACCACGTACCCTTCAGGAAGTACACAAAGTAAGATAAGTACACAGGGTGGATATAGACACCACGTACCCTACAGGAAGTACACAAAGTAAGATAAGTATACAGGGTGGACATAGACACCACGTACCCTACACACATTCAATCCTCGTAACTCGAAGATGTGTTTATGATATCACAAGCTGGGACGAGTGGTCCATACTCCATTACCCGCGATAAAGCTGCAACATCGCTGACGGCGACATAAATCAAAAGAAACCAAAATTGTGTAAAACCATTCCAGTGTGCATGCAACTGACGCAAGTACATCGTAACACCTACCGGCAGCCACCAGTTCGAAGATGAGGGCAAGGACGTCATCTTTCGTCACCGGGGAGTCTTCTTTGGAGGCCTCTTCCAGAAACCTATCTAAGACACCATCTCCGGACCGGAAGTTCACCTAAACACGTAATGAACTGTTGCTTACACGCCCCTCTCGTACAGTGGATTCAAATGAGTTAGAGGATGCATGTACATGCTATCAACATTCCAGTTTTGAGACAGAAGGGGGCACTAGAGATACGCTTCAAACATCGTACCTTAGGGGAAGAGTGTGTGTTGTGTCTGTGTGTGGGGAGAGGCCAATACTTCAGTAACTTCCTTACATCCCTTGAGATTTGGAGAATACATGAAATCCCTGGGGGTCACAGTGATTTCACGAAATCACTGACTCTTTTAAGGATTACATGAAATCCCTGATTTCACACATTCCCCGTAACATATATATGTTTAATGTAGGCTTGTGTATTTAAGTAACATCTCGGGTTCAAACAGTTATTATTCTTCCTGTAGTGTGGTCAGTTACTCAGAGGATAATTTCTATCTGTTCCTACCTTATAGTCGGTGAAGAACAGTTTGGTAAGCTTGGCCCTGGTCGCCTCAATCCTTTTCCAGCGACGGCCATAGCTGTTTGGGAGATGCCGGAGAAAGGGTAGATTGGTCAGAACGGACTCTTGATCGATGCCCAAGGACCTGTTGAGGAGGTCGTCCATCTCTCTCATGATGGCGATGTTGTCACTGCCAGGCAAGGGGCGTTCACCAGTCAGCTAAACGGCAACAAAAGTATGGTCAGAGACAGCATTTCAGTCGCTTGTAAGATTCACATTGCAGGAAAGCGCATTGTGAATTAAAGTTAGAAAACTACCATATGTTGCTGTCAAACAAAGGTATTACGATCAGGGTGAATCTGGGGTTCGAAAATATGGTCGTACGATCCAAGGGAGACAATTCTGCACATAGAACAGCAGTGCCTCTGACGACTGGGACCTAACCAGTACTACAGAAGTGTCTGTCATAAACTATTATCGTATGGTCATGTCTTTCAGCTATGTTTACGTGGGCGGTGGGGTAGCCTAGTGGTTAAAGCGATCGCTCGTAACGCCGAAGACCCTGTTTCGATTCCCCACATGGGCACTCTGTGTGAAGCCCATTTCTGGTGTCCCCGCCGTGATATTGCTGGAATATTGCTAAAAGTGGCGTAGAACCATACTCACTCACTCACCCGTGGCATAAATGGCCTTTAAAATTAAGTCGGTTTATAGTGCACCCTGGTTTTTAACACCAACGTGGTTATAAAACATCCAGAACGGATTTCCATCCATTGAAATCCCCTGGCTATACCGCCACCTCCACCGCCACCTCCACCGCCCCTGCTAACGCCAACGCCAACGCAATATTTATATGCCAAACGGTCGGCTTGGCAAATCAACGGCTTTGATCAGCTGAATAAATATTGTGTGCACATAGTTAAGCAAGGCTTTTTATCATTGGTTAAGCTAAGCTTATCAACAGATAATACAAAATATTATAATACTGTAATGTAAATCTGTTCAAGCTGCCATCTATTTCCTCTGTGAAAAATATAGAAGGCAGCTTGAACAGATTTATTACATACTATTACACAAAGGGTCAACCGCCTACAACGACCCAGTTGGATAATTTTGGAACTGTTGCAACAACAACAGTTCCAAAATTATCCAACTGGGTCGTTGTAGGCGGTTGACCCTTGTGCGTAACAGTACTTTGACATAGATTCAGTGACAGGACGAGGTTATCAAGGATGTTAGATAGACATGCATTAATGTCATCGTCGTACACGAATTAAAACCTTTTACACATAAACTTCATAAATCCGGATTACGTCATAAATCCGGTCCGGATTAAAGGACTCACGGAAATAGAAATAAAACGGTTTTTGGCGTTTATTTCGTAGTTTGAACACAACTAAAATTTCATTGTTAGGTATTCTATGGCTATCGTTTTTTCCAACTTTTGTTTTAAACATTTTTTGTAAAATCATCCGAATATAGATGAGTTTACAGGAGAGGAAATTGTGACGTAAGTTATAACATGTTTCTAAATTTGTTGTTAATATGCACATATATGTTATTTTTACCTGAAAATGGTATTTTGTATAATGATTAGATGACCAAATTAAAAGGCCCAGTTGGGCAAAATATAGTTGTTATACCCCCACCATATAAGGCTGGGGGCATATAGGGTTACCCTCCGTGTCCGTCCGTACGTCTGTCCGTCCGTCCGTCCGCACGAAACAGGGAATGTACTCTATCCACTTCTCCACAAAAAACGCTCTGTGGAATTCAATGAACTTATACATGAGCTTTCTTGGGACTCTAATGGTGTGCATCTCATATTTTGTTTTTGTATTTTATTATTTCTTTGTAAGTTTAGAGACAATTGAACTTAGATAAATTTCTCTCTGATGACAGTGAAATAGGGGATTAGGTCTATCCACTTCCCCACAAAAACTGCTCAACAGAATTGATTAAGCTTATACGTGTGTTTCATTGGGTTTTGAAAGGTGTGCATGTCATAGTTGCATAGATGTTTATTGAACTTGTACGTGAATTTTGTTCAATTATTGATCTTTATATGATAATGGGTTGTGTTATCTGCCCCCTCAACACATTGTTTATTAGTGTTTTCAAGTACTTCAGTGGGACCCTGAATGTGTGAACTCTTCCTACAGCAGCGGGGGCATCCGTGTCCCTGGACACAATTTTTTCTTGTTTAAATATTTGTTAAAACTACCTATTTCAATCACGTAATAAGCACTTAAACACCCAAAACCATTATATTTATATTTCAGAGAGTACCTTTTTTAACAAATATAAGGAACACATAATGTTAATGTATTATTCTACATGGCTGCACCTTACAGGACGCCATGTAGTTAACTTATAGAACGTTTCTACACACAACAATCAAACTGTACATGTGGGTGGGACATACAAAACAATCAAACTGTACATGAGGGTGGGCCAAACACAACAATCAAACTGTACATGTGGGTGGGACAGACACAACAATCAAACTGTACATGAGGGTGGGACAAACACAACAATCAAACTGTACATGTGGGTGGGACAAACACAACAATCAAACTGTACATGAGGGTGGGACAAACACAACAATCAAACTGTACATGTGTGTGAGACAAACACAACAATCAAAATGTACATGTGGGTGGGACAAACTCAACAATAAAACTGTACATGAGGGTGGGACAAACACAACAATCAAACTGTACATGAGGGTGGGACATACACAACAATCAAACTGTACATGTGGGAGGGGTAAACACAACAATCAAACTGTACATGTGGGAGGGGCAAACACAACAATCAAACTGGAACATGAGTGTGGGACGAACACAACAATCAAACTGGAACATGTGGGTGGGACAAACACAACAATCAAACTGGAACATGAGGGTGGGACATACACAACAATCAAACTGTACATGTGGGTGGGACAAACACAACAATCAAACTGTACATGTGGGTGGGACATACACAACAATCAAACTGTACATGTGTGTGAGACAAACACAACAATCAAACTGTACATGTGGGTGGAACAAACACAACAATCAAACTGTACATGTGTGTGAGACAAACACAACAATCAAAATGTACATGTGGGTGGGACAAACTCAACAATAAAACTGTACATGAGGGTGGGACAAACACAACAATCAAACTGTACATGAAGGTGGGACATACACAACAATCAAACTGTACATGTGGGTGGGACAAACACAACAATCAAACTGTGCATGAGGGTGGGACATACACAACAATCAAACTGTACATGTGGGAGGGGTAAACACAACAATCAAACTGTACATGTGGGAGGGGCAAACACAACAATCAAACTGGAACATGAGGGTGGGACGAACACAACAATCAAACTGGAACATGTGGGTGGGACAAACACAACAATCAAACTGGACAAACACAACAACATGATGTGGGTGGGACAAACACAACAATCAAACTGTACATGTGGGTGGGACAAACACAACAATCAAACTGTACATGTGGGTGGGACAAACACAACAATCAAAACTGTACATGTGGGTGGGACAAACACAACAATCAAACTGTACATGTGGGTGGGACAAACACAACAATCAAACTGTACATGTGGGTGGGACAAACACAACAATCAAACTGTACATGTGGGTGGGACAAACACAACAATCAAACTGTACATGTGGGTGGACAAACACAACAATCAAACTGTACATGTGAAGGTGGGACAAACACAACAATCAAACTGTACATGAGGGTGGGACAACACACAACAATGTACAAACTGTACATGGGTGGGACAAACACAACAATCAAACTGTACATGTGGGTGGGACAAACACAACAATCAAACTGTACATGTGGGTGGGACAACACAACAACAATCAAACTGTACTGGGAACATGGGTGGGACAAACACAACAATCAAACTGTACATGTGGGTGGGACAAACACAACAATCAAACTGGTACATGAGGGTGGGACACAATCAAACTGTATGTGGGTGGGACATACACAACAATCAAACTGTACATGTGGGTGGGACAAACACAACAATCAAACTGTACATGTGGGTGGGACAAACACAACAATCAAACTGTACATGTGGGTGGGACAAACACAACAATCAAACTGTACATGTGGGTGGGACAAACACAACAATCAAACTGTACATGTGGGTGGGACAAACACAACAATCAAACTGTACATGTGGGTGGGACAAACACAACAATCAAACTGTACATGTGGGTGGGACAAACACAACAATCAAACTGTACATGTGGGTGGGACAAACACAACAATCAAACTGTACATGTGGGTGGGACAAACACAACAATCAAAACATGAGGGTGGGACAAACACAACAATCAAACTGTACATGAGGGTGGGACAAACACAACAATCAAACTGTACATGTGGGTGGGACAAACACAACAATCAAACTGTACATGTGGTGGGACAAACACAACAATCAAACTGTACATGTGGGTGGGGACAAACAACAACTGTACAATCAAACTGTACATGTGGGTGGGACAAACACAACAATCAAACTGTACATGTGGGTGGGACAAACACAACAATCAAACTGAACATGAGAGATTGGGACAAACACAACAATCAAACTGTACATGTACATGTGGGTGGGACACAACACAACAATCAAACTGTACATGTGGGTGGGACAAACACAACAATCAAACTGTACATGAGGGTGGGACAAACACAACAATCAAACTGTACATGTGGGTGGGACAAACACAACAATCAAAACTGTACATGTGGGTGGGACAAACACAACAATCAAACTGTACATGTGGGTGGGACAAACACAACAATCAAACTGTACATGTGAGGGTGGGACAAACACAACAATCAAACTGTACATGTGGGTGGGACAAACACAACAATCAAGACAAACACAACAATCAAACTGTACATGAGGGTGGGACAAACACAACAATCAAACTGTACATGTGGGTGGGACAAACACAACAATCAAACTGTACATGTGGGTGGGACAAACACAACAATCAAACTGTACATGTGATGTGGTGGGACAAACACAACAATCAAAAACTGTACATACATGTGGGTGGGACAAACACAACAATCAAACTGTACATGAGACAAACACAACAATCAAACTGTACATGTGGGTGGACAAACACAACAATCAAACTGTACATGTGGGTGGGACAAACACAACAATCAAACTGTACATGTGGGTGGGACAAACACAACAATCAAACTGTACATGTGGGTGGGACAAACACAACAATCAAACTGTACATGTGGGTGGGACAAAACACAACAATCACAACAATCAAATGTACATGGGTGGGACAAACACAACAATCAAACTGTACATGTGGGTGGGACAAACACAACAATCAAATACATGTGGGTGGGACAAACACAAAACTGTACATGTGGGTGGGACAAACACAACAATCAAACTGTACATGAGGGTGGGACAAACACAACAATCAAACTGTACATGTGGGTGGGACAAACACAACAATCAAACTGTACATGTGGGTGGGACAAACACAACAATCAAACTGTACATGTGGGTGGGACAAACACAACAATCAAACTGTACATGTGGGGGGGACAAACACAACAATCAAACTGTACATGTGGAACATGTGTGGTGGGACAAACACAACAATCAAACTGGAACATGTGGGTGGGACAAACACAACAATCAAACTGTACATGTGGGTGGGACAAACACAACAATCAAACTGTACATGTGGGTGGGACAAACACAACAATCAAACTGTACATGTGGGTGGGACAAACACAACAATCAAACTGTACATGTGGGTGGGACAAACACAACAATCAAACTGTACATGTGGGTGGGACAAACACAACAATCAAACTGTACGTACATGGGTGGGACAAACACAACAATCAAACTGTACATGTGGGTGGGACATACACAACAATCAAACTGTACATGTGGGTGTGACATACACAACAATGAAACTGTACATGTGGGTGTGACATACACAACAATCAAACTGGAACATGTGGGTGGGACCAACACAACAATCAAAGTGGAAAATGTGGGGTTCAACATACACAACAATAGATGGCTATCTCGAGGATGAATGGAGTTGAGTTCTATCTGATTGCACTTAATGTTATTGTATTCACTGAAACGTTGTTAACTGGTACCTCTATATCTTGAGAGCTCGCATTTCGGGTAACCTACACTACCCTCTGGATCTATCGCGATCTCGGATTCCCCGTCCTTGAATTGTATAAGCCAGCTTTCAAAACTATTCGGTTTCAAAAAGAGTCAGAATGCGAGTTTCAACCCAGGTTCGATGGCCGTAGCACAGCGGTACGTGTTCCACCCTTACCCATGTACTCTTTCATGTCTGGCTGTCTGACGGGTTGGTGAAATTTTAACAAACATCAAGGGCGAGTAATTTGAGATTGCGCGAACTACGAATGAATCCAGGAATTTGCCGAAAATGAGCGAGTGAGTGTGGTTTTACGCCGCTTTTAGCAATATTTCACCATGCTTATTTCAAAAGTGGATACCTTGTCGTTTTAGAAAATGTAAACATACTACCCATCAAAAGTTTAGACTCACATAAAGCACTCACTATAATGTTATGGATATATACGGTTACATCGAAGATGAATTTCTCCACTAACTTAGGGGAACCATCCGCAAACATTATACAGATGAATTGCACGAGGATCATGCATCAATTTTCTGAAAAGCATGTGCAAATATTGTGCATGTGAACAGCTGCGTTTTGGTGTTTTGGTACAGTTTTGTTAAGAATTCGCCAATTTTCACTGAGATTCATGATTTATTGAACTCACGAAAATTATTTTTTCGACGTAACGAATTTGTTTTACAATACATCAGTGCATGTTTTTACAGTACCTTTAAATATTATGGAATATTTAGCAAAATCTAGTTAAGATCAGTTGACTGAAGTAAGTGGCTACATTTACACTAGTGAGTCTAAACTTTTGATGGGTAGTATATTTAAAGCACAATACGTATATGGTAGACAAAACTGGATATTTAACTGACAATAAACACCATTTTCTGAACATGAGGTCATCTGAGAAGAGATTCTCATGAACATCGTCCGAAACATAAGCAATAGGTACTAATAGGTGCGCCTCCGTGGTGTAGTGGTTAGAGCGTCCGCCCGGAGAGCGGAAGGTCGCGGGTTCGATCCCCGACCGCGTCATACCAAAAGACGTTAAAATATGGTACTTGTTGGTCCCTGCCTTGCGCTCGGCATTAATGGGTACAACAAGGACTGGTCGGCTCGGAGTCAGTATAATGTGTCTGAGTGGGGTATTCATGCTTCACTGCGGCATGGTATCTCAGTGAGACTAGCACTATAAAACCAGCTTCAGTCTGGGCTAGTACAAGCAGCCGCACATACCCATACACACGCATGCACGTCGTCATATGAGCGAAATATTCTCAAGCACGACGTTAAACCCAATTTCACCTCACCTCACCCAGGTACTGCAGAGAAGAGTTTAACGGGAAAGCTGGGCTTATCACAAACTGTTACTTAGGCCATTGGGAGTGTTTTCAAAATGTGTAAATAGTATAACCTGGAGCATGTTGACCTTGTCATATGAAAATAGTAATGATTAGTTCTGTAGATTAGAAGAGGTACAGTGCTAACGGTCGGGCCAACAGACGGCGTTCAAAACCCATAACGAGAGTGCGTGAGTGAGTTTAGTTTTACGCCGCTTTCAGCAATATTCCAGCAATATCGCGGCGGCGGGACACCAGCCGTAACGAGAACCAGGAGAGCTAAATCAAGGCCATCATAACAACAGTATTTCTGGTGACACTGCATGAATGACATTGTACTAGAATGAATATTTATACCTTCATGTAAAATACGGTCTAATGTACGCATCTGTGTAGTAGTGTTATACCGGTTGGGTGACACTACTACAAAGAGGCGTACATCAGACCGTATTACCCTCGACAGAAGCATAAAAAACTATAGTGAGTGAGTGAGTTTAGTTTTACGCCACCTTTAGCAATATTCCCTAAATATCACAGCGGGGGACACCAGAAATGGGTATCACACACTTTACCCATGTGCGGAATCGAACCGGGGGCTTCGGCGTGACGAGCGTGCGCTTTAACCACTAGGCTTTCCCGCCGCCCGTATACAATATATATCATATATATATGAGGACAATTAGTTTTAAAGAAACGTCATCAATATGGCGATAAATCCAAACATACTCACAAGAATATGAAGGACGTTCATTAGATAATCGGAAATGATCTCATGCAGCTGCACAGTGCCAGATTCAGCTTGAATGTTCAACTCGCCGAGAGTCACCTTCATTTCGGACCTAAGAGTGTTTTCAATCTTCATGCCCCCGTCCACATGCATGTTTACCGACGAGTGAAATAGTTGCCTGAGTTTTCTCCAATATTTTCCAGCACTTGAGAAGGTGATACCGCAGCCTCGAAACACATACTTGCCCACAAAGCTAGGAGGTCGGTCATTGGTGATAGTTTTGTAGGTACCGGAGAACAACTCGCGGATGACTCGCACGGAGTTGATAACAATAATGGTCTGTCCGGGGATCGACACACAGAACAATTCGCCATATCGTCTAGCCCATTGTTCAAACTGAGTATGGGCTGAATTCGAAAAACCAGCTTTGTAGAGATCTCGTATAACAGTCAGGAGGGTTGGCCCTGGGGGTAGCGATAACTTCCTTCTGGACAGCGTCCACTTTGCGACCAGTGCACTGAATCCGAGAACTCCAAACGCCAACGTGATGCTTGAAATGAGTTCCATTGTATGTTTGGACTGCAAGGGACAAGTTATGGAGTGTGTTTTCAATGGGTTCCCACTTGATATACAGCGAACTTGTGGGGGCGTAGCTTCAGACCGCTGTATATCATTATCGCCGTCAATCTCTATATGAAAGAAAACACGAGTAAATTGTACTGGCTGGACCAAATCTGGGCGATAAAACAAGATTCGATGATAGGCGGATATTTATACACCTGTGAATGTGACATCACCTCCCACCCTCAACTGTTACCCACGTGGTAAATGTAAGCCGGAGTACACGTGTTTCCTTAAAGCAACAGAGCGTGTTCAGTGATTCTGTACCTGTCAACCGTCACAAATATAAATCGAGACTCACTAAGCGAATCAAACAAAGACCCAGCCCATCCCAGTTGAAATATACCTATTGTGGTCTGTATAACCAACGATAAATCTCCTGTGTTGTTGATACCGATGTTACGTAACCACGCCCCCACACACTTCACTGTATAGAATCAGCATGGTATCGACATATCCTCCAGGTGTCGTACTGGTTAGTGACGCGTACCCACTTTGTAAACATTCACATATTCTGATTATAAGCATTATAGTTGTATCGTCAATGTGCCTTGATAATTGAAGGTGTCCTTTTCACCTGAAACATTCCGCTTTGCACAACGATGAAAACTAATACATGCTATGTGAGTGAGTGACGCATTTAGTTTTAAGCCGCACTCAGCACTATTCCAGCTATATGTCGGCGGTCTGTAAATAATCGAGTCTGGACCAGACAACCCAGTGATCAACAGCATGAGCATCGATCTGAGATGTAGGGAAGGTTTAAAACCAATGGATGTTAATACATCAAACAAGGTTGTTTGTCTGTTTGTACTTAACGCCACACTCAGCAATACTCCAGTTATACGAATATAATACGATACACTATGTCACGATACGATACGTATCGCGATATTTTACCTGTGATACATATATACACCTTGAAAGAATGGCACAGTATTAATGATTTAAAGTGATTTATTTCAAGGTATTTGTGTATAACAATAACACTATTGTAATAAACAAGTAAGTTACTCTATCATACTTGCGTATTTTTATCTAAATAAGTACTTTAACATTTTTAAGATAAAACTGTTTTGAAAACTTAAATGTATTACGATGTATCGATGTATCGGTGAATCGTCCCATCCATACAGCTGTATGACGGTGGTATGTAAATAATCGAGCCTGACCAGACAATCCAGTGATTGATATCATCAGCATCGATCTTCCAGCTGGGATCACATGCATCAGTCAAGTCAGAGAGCCTGACCACACGACCCCTTTAGTCGCCTCATACAAGACCAGTTCTAATCCCAATCTTCACTGTACCTTGATCACGGATCAACCAGTGTTGGTCTGCTCGTCTTTCTGGCTGTCCGTCTGTCCGTTCTCTCCTGAATAAAAAGAAAATGTGAAAACGTCTGGCGAAAAGTAAAGACGACATGAAACAGTCACTTGGACACACCAAGCTTGAAAAAAGCTGTTCCACGAGATATGTAATTATTATTATTATTTATGTCATATGAAGCCAAAATACCATACCAACTAATTCGTTATGCTTCAAACATTTCCCGCGTAAATATATATTCTAACAATGACTATTGCATGTGTTACATAATTATATCTCACATATACAAAACTGAAAATATATATTGTACTATCAACTTTTTCAGAATGTAAAAAATACCACTTGAAAAAATTCGCGAGATACATTTATCGCATCACAAGATTGTGTATCTACACAATTGTAGTTTAAGCAACATAATATATAACCTGATGTATAGCATGTGACACGATTAACGCTGAGTCACAGTGTAACGTACCACCTACGTACACGGGTAAGAATAAACACAGAATAACATCTAGAGAGGTAGTAAACCCAGATGTGACGATACAGTTATTTGAACTTTCCGGGGATCGTGTCCATGCGATTAGCTATCATACAAAACGACGCCGGAAACTTCTAATTCTAAATGGAAAGTTAAACATTATTGTTTATTCTCAGGGGCATAACGCTGGCCTCGCGTGACCACGGTTCCTGATTTAGCACGTCCGTGTATAGAAGAAGTATATCTTCACTAATTATCCAGCTACCTAAGGCTTTTGAAAATGTCTTCATTGTTGATAAAAGTGTTTGATATATTCTCAGTGTCACGTTTTGAGAATTCACACGAGAGAATAATCTGAGTGATGTGCCGAAAGTGATTCCATTGGTCGAAAAAAGACGCGTTATTGATGAACATTGTATAAATAAATCACTGAATATTTGTTGTTGTCGAAAAGGATACAGATATCCTGTTCTACAGCATCCACCTGCATTAACCGATTCTCCCGACAATGTCAGTGTTCGGAATACACAATGTCCTTTTTCGCAATGGTCGGGTGTAACATATGTTACATTTAGGGTTACACTTTCTCTGAATCTTGTACATTTTTAATTTGATTCCCATCCGATCAAGAATGTGTACTTTAATGGGAAAGTGTAATCCATAACATACCATTTAAATGGCAGCGTTCGTTTGTTGCTTAACGCGGCATCCTTTAACAATCCCACCATGCGAATATGACAATCTAATCTTGACCACACACTGGAACCCTGTGGTATAGGGCGTGAGAGGTCAATAAGTAATACCAAGGGATAACCTTGGCCTATCTCCTCGTACGTGTTACTTGTTCTTAGGCGGTACGGGGGCGGTGGGGTAGCCTAGTGGTTAAAGCGTTCGCTCGTCACGCCGAAGACCCGGGTTCGATTCCCCACATGGGTACAAAGTGTGAAGCCCATTTCTGCCCGTCGTGATATTGCTGGAATATTGCTAAATGCGGCGTAAAACCATATTCACTCACTCACTCTTAGGCGGTACGGTAGCCCAAAGGTTAATGCGTTCGCTCGTCGGCCGAAGACCCGAGTTCAAGTTTTTGCTTAGATACAACGTGTGAAGCCAATGTCTGGTGTCCCCAGTTGCGATATTGCAGGCTATTGCTAAAAGAAGCTTAAAACTCACTCACTCATGCACTTACTACTACTTCTTCAAAAATCTTTACTTTCAGTGATCAATATCAGCATTCACGTGGTTCGGGTACGATTTTACAATTACAATAGGATAAGTTTGAATTTGAAAACTTAGATATAATATCACTGTTTAATACTCAGGTCAAAACATATATGATTTAATCTAACGATTTTCCAGATCAAACTTTTATCAACTTTGTTAACCCGAATAAAACTCAAATAGATTAACTCTCGGTGTTGCGAATCAGGGATAGTATCGATACCAGATACAGTGCGCATATGGTCCGTCGTATCCTAAATGTAATTCGTCTAAAATGTAGTATCGAGTTAAAGGGGGTAGAAATGTATCTAGGCTTCACTTACGGCATTATCCAGCAAGTCCTCAACACACAGTAACACGCTGTTTGTTGTACCCTCACTATATGTGAGAAATCGAGATCAAACAGCGATGACATCACGTGTCACGTGTCACGTGTCACGTGTCACGTGACACAGTAGATGCGCACATTGATAATAATATCAGCAATAATGTGTCTAAGTGAGATTAACTTGACGTTCAATACGGCGAGCCACACTATGCATCTTAATTATTCATGTCATGCATAATGTTGTTAATCCGTATTAGTGAGTGTTGGTTTTAGCAACATTCCCACTATATCACGATATCAAAAAAGGGTTAGCAGGTCGAATCGATTGCGAATGAATGAATGAAAATTTCTCTTCACTGCTCATCAATTTAACAACTAATTGCGACCCGATCGCGAGTAAGTTTCATTTCAGCGAGGGCATAACCCGCATTGCATTAAATTATATAAAACTTTAATCTTGAATATTATCATTAATTCAGGTGTTATTGTCTCTCTGTGGCGTATACACAGTGAAGAAGATAACGGTGACAACTCGAAGAGATAATCTCGATTATACCGTATCCTCGTCTATTGTCGACGCGCATACTTTGGCCCAGTTTACTCAACAGATCCGCACGAGGGTTACTGATGCCAGAAAGGGTTACTGATGCCAGAAAGGGTTACTGATGCCAGAAAGGGTTACTGATGCCAGAAAGGGTTAAGGGTTACTGATGCCAGTTACTGATGCCAGATAGGGTTACTGATGCCAGATAGGGTTACTGATGCCAGAAAGGGGTACTAATGCCAGAAAGGGGTACTGATGCCAGAAAGGGTTACTGATGCCAGAAAGGGGTACTGATGCCAGAAAGGGGTACTGATGCCAGAAAATTATCAACCTCACATACCCCTCATTTTAACAAAGAAAATCAATGTAAAGATTTCTGAAAAGTTAATGTTGAAAATGGTCTCAGTATTTAGGAAATACATAATTATTAAATAGCTCATAATTCTTCTCTGTGTTATTATTATTATATATTTATATAGCGCACATATTCACGCAGCTAGTACATGCTCAAGGCGGTGTTATTTTTTCCCCTCGATCATTGGATGTAAATCTCACGGGCACATCGTATTATCAATCTCAACTCCCTGGGATCATACAACTGATATGGTGAATGTACTATCGGTAAAATACAACTTACTGACCATTGACATATGGCGATTTAGTCCAGATGTATCAAGTTTTGTCTCGCGAGAACTGCCCAGTGGATCACGCAGATACACACTGCATGTTGACCTCGATTTACGTGGCCTCCTTTCTGGACAAATCCCGGTATTACAATGAGCTTTGGGGAGCGGCCGTAGAACGAGTTCCTGTCGAGATCCAGCCACTTTCTGGGTCTGTCTGTCCAGAAACGGGAACAGCCACGCGCGGGTCAAATAGGGATACAAAAAGAGCTCGTTAAACGTTCTGGCATGTTTACGTGCACATGCCACGTACTGAATATCAAACAAGGGTTGTCTGAGTGTCAGATGAAGTAAACATATGTTGTGACTCATGCATAGAAAACATCTTGTGTAGACGCGAGGACGGGGAGGGGTTGGTTGGTTGGTTGGTTTTATTGAGGGGTGATTAGATAAGTCGATATGGGTGGAAGGGCAAGAGGGATAGATATACGAGGGAAAGGGGGTATAAGTGATTTGATTTACCATATGTGGGTGGATCGTAGAATAAATGATATCTGTGCGGATTGAAGGATGAGTGATTTGATGGACCGATATGTGGGTGGATGGAAGGATGAGTGATTTGATGGACCGATATGTGGGTGGATGGACCGATATGTGGGTGGATGGAAGGATGAGTGATTTGTGGGATATCTGTGTGGATGGAAGGATAAGTGATTTGATGGACCGATATGTGGGTGGATTGAAGGATGAGTGATTTGATGGACCGATATGTGGGTGGATGGAAGGATAAGTGATTTGATGGACCGATATGTGTGTGGATTGAAGGATAAGTGATTTGATGGACCGATATCTGTGCGGATGGAAGGATGAGTGATTTGATGGACCGATATGTGGGTGGATGGAAGGATGAGTGATTTGATGGACCGATATGTGTGTGGATGGAAGGATGAGTGATTTGATGGACCGATATGTGGGTGGATTGAAGGATGAGTGATTTGATGGACCGATATGTGTGTGGATTGAATGATGAGTGATTTGATGGACCGATATGTGGGTGGATGGAAGGATGAGTGATTTGATGGACCGATATGTGGGTGGATGGAAGGATGAGTGATTTGATGGACCGATATCTGTGCGGATGGAAGGATAAGTGATTTGATGGACCGATATGTGGGTGGATGGAAGGATGAGTGATTTGATGGACCGATATGTGGGTGGATTGAAGGATGAGTGATTTGATGGACCGATATGTGGGTGGATGGAAGGATGAGTGATTTGATGGACCGATATGTGGGTGGATGGAAGGATAAGTGATTTGATGGACCGATATGTGGGTGGATTGAAGGATGAGTGATTTGATGGACCGATATGTGGGTGGATGGAAGGATGAGTGATTTGATGGACCGATATGTGGGTGGATGGAAGGATGAGTGATTTGATGGACCGATATGTGGGTGGATTGAAGGATGAGTGATTTGATGGACCGATATGTGGGTGGATGGAAGGATGAGTGATTTGATGGACCGATATGTGGGTGGATGGAAGGATGAGTGATTTAATGGACGGATATGTGGGTGGATGGAAGGATAAGTGATTTGATGGACCGATATGTGGGTGGATGGAAGGATGAGTGATTTGATGGACCGATATGTGGGTGGATTGAAGGATAAGTGATTTGATTGAAAGATGTGTAAGTTGAGTGAAGGATAGGTGATTAGATTGATAGATGTATTCGTGGATGGAACGTTAAGTGATTTGATTGATAGGTATATGAGTTGAGTGAAGGATAGGTGATTTGATTGATTAGGTATTGAGTGGATGGAGGGATAGATGGGGTAGATGAAAAGATGGATGGATGAATAAATAGTAGGAGATATGTCGTGTGTCCCTGTGGATGGACAGATTAGTGCATGGATGAATAAACTGTGCATGGGTGACTATATGGTGGATAAGTGTGTAGATGAATAGATTAGTTAAAAGTGGAAAGATAAATGAATAAATAGATTCGTAAGTGGGTAGATGAAAGATATGAGTTCATAGATAGATTAAATGAATGTGTGAGTTGGTTGATAAGTAAGTTGGTAGATGGGTCAATACGTGTTAGGGCGAGGATACATAAACGGGTAGATGGATGAATAAGCGCGTGGTTGCGTGGATAATGGATATGCTGGTTCCATCGGCGAGAGCGAGGGGTGACAGTAGGCACAGACTGAAAGATGTAGTGAGTGGGTGTAACTGGAAAACTCATTTGTCTATACTGTCAGATAATTAACATCCAGTCTGACTAACAGGAAACCATATCTTTATCAAAGGAACTATTTCGCGTTGATGGGTATTCTATCATAAAAAGCCGTTACCTCAAGAAAATTTTCCCAGTGACGAAAATTTGCTGTGACAGATAGTCATAATTTGCATGTACAGCGTGATGCGGGATACAAAGAGCGATTATTTGCCCGTCTCATAATTGTCTTCACAAATACGGGTATCACAGAAATAAGTCGAACCTAGCATGCGTGATTCTACTTCGGTGGAAGGAGGATTCAGCTCCGACATTGAAATACCACGGACGCCTGATGGAATTGCCAAAGATACCAAAGGGATAAAGAACTGATGACTTTCAGTAAGTGTTAACCTTTTGTTCTTTTTATTTTTAGAGCAGATACTCATCGAAGTAAATCGTATCATGCGGTGTCTTTCGACATATAATTAGTATTAATAACATTGGTTTGTATGTTAATCCAGAAGGGTCTGTCTTTCAAAGACCGAGCGAAAACTCATAAAGAAGCATAGCTCTATAAAAAAGATGATTTCACAGCTAGATAAGACAGTGAAAGCGTGGGATGAAATCTTGTGTGCATAGTTACATGTTTAGGGACAGTTTTTTAATGATGCACCTAATTAAACATGCACTCACTGTATATGTATGTATGGGGCGGTGGGGTAGCCTAGTGGTTAAAGCGTTCGCTCGTCACGCCGAAGACCCGGGTTCGAATCCCCACATGGGTACAATGTGTGAAGCCCATTTCTGGTGTCTCCCGCCGTGATGTTGCTGGAATATTGCTAACAGCGGTGTAAAACCAAACTCAGTCAGTATATGTATGTGTACTATGTATTTATGTCTGTATGTCTGTCTGTATGTCTGTCTGTCTGTATGGACGGACGGACTGATGGGTGGATGGATGGATGGATGGATTGCCTGTGGATATAGTTTACAGCATAAACTGAAGTTTGTTTGTTTTCAGTTTCACTACTGGGTTAATGCAAAAGTCAGTCATATTGTGACGTCGCCTCTCTCTCTCTGAATGATAGTTCCCAACATGGGTACAATGTGTGAAGCCCATTTCTGGTGTCCCCCGGGGGTGGTGGGGTGGTGGGGCGGTCTAGTGGTTAAAGCGTTGGCTCGTCAAGCCGAAGACCCGGGTTCGAATCCCCACATGGGTACAATGAGTGAAGCCCATTTCTGGTGTCCCCCGCCGTGATATTGCTGGAATATTGCTAAAAGCGGCGTAAAACCAAACTCAGTCAGTCTGGAGTCCCACGCCGTGCTATTGCTGGAATATTGCTCATAGCGGCGTGAAACCCAACTCACTCACTCACCCACAGAAATCAATTTCCTTCAGTCTTTGCTGGCTCTTACGCTGCTAAATATAGCTACCGCAGTCCCATGACTTACCACCCTGATCCTGATTGTAACCACGTGATCACAATTAATCTTCGAAAACAAATAATTTTGTTTTTTCTTGATTTATTTTCAGGAGGCAAAGACTGTAGCTGTTCTGTCACAGGTACGTGAGTCACTTACAGCAGAAGCTGCACATGCGCAGGTATTCATTTGTTGACGCATACAACCTTCATTGTTCATACTGTTACATAGAACCTTCATTGTTCTCGGCCAGTGTGGCCTCGATGTACATTCTTACCTACTGGTGTTTTTATTGAAACTCTCGGTGTCCAATAACAACTATTAAGTACAATGTTTCAGCGTCTTTTGGTATGACGGGGTATTAACCATGAGCATCGAACCGCCCGCCCGCAGACAGACACTCTATCCCATACAACAAGGAGGTCGGCGAATAATTTGAAAAGAGTTACGCAACGATAACATTTCGGCATTTGACATAATGTCAGACGTTAGATACATGATAACCAACTAATCTAGGCCGGAGAACGAAGGCATGGCGACGATGGGTTTTTATAACAATGTACACAATCTAGTCACGTTATATAGCTATGGGCTAGAGTACAGTGTAACCGCGTTATGCATGAAAATATTTGTCCTTTTCATTATTGCTTTGTATTAGTTATCACAATTTTACTGGTTAAAAGCAGTGACTGTGTGAGTTGAGGTGAACGCCCTTTTGAATACTATTCCAATTATATCAGCTTAATGTGGGAGAGTGACTGAGTGAGTGAGTTTGGTTTTACGCCGCTTTTAGCAATATTCCCGCAATATCACAGCGGTGGACACCAGAAATGGGCTTCACACATTGTACCCATGTGCGGAATTGAACCCGGGTCTTCGGCGTGACGAGCGAACGCTTTAACCACTAGGCTACCCCACAGCCCTAATGTGGGAGAGGAGACGGTGGGAGTAGCATAGTGGTTAAAGCGTTCGCTCGTCACGCCGAAGGCCCGGGTTCGATTCCGATCCACAAAGCATTCGTAGCGTTACGAGCTATCGTAACTCTATAGTTTATCATAGGATTACGAATGACGTAGAGCTACGAACGCTTTGTGAATCGTGAAACCCTGTTTCGCAAGTGAAAGTTTCCATTCTGCTGTGAAAGGGAGTGTGTTCTATACTACATGTGTGAGCGGATACGCAGAGGTGCGAACCGTGACGCTTTTATCGGAGTCTACGAATTTTAGCATCAAACTACACCAATACGATTGCACTAGAAATTCTACGAAATCTGAAAAAATTCATTAAAATTTGGATATATAGACAAGAACATATAATTTCGTCGATTAAATACATTTTCGCCAAAGAGAGATGACAAGAAGAAATGAAATGCTTATAACTTGAAAATCTGCCGTTGAAGGTATGTGAAATTTAAGCTTCACACTTGATTAGTGTCATATTATCTTTCTCAGAATCCATAATGATTTTAAGTATTTAGTTGACTGCTAATTTTATGGTCAAACTACCAACCTTGATCCTTGAAACTACTATTTGCAACACTTTGGGAATGGCATCTCTGTTATGGTACGTCTAATAATTCCTTTTACTTCGAATAAAAGGCGTCATACAAACGAGGCTCTATCACGCTCACAGACATGCCTTCTGCTGAACCAAATGTAATGAAATAAATAGTGAAAAGTTTGTATACCAACAAACGGATTCAAGAACGAATTTTGGACAATTAAGGTTTAGAATGTGAGACAGTCTAGGTCAGTGACTGAAGGCCGTATGTCCCGGTTGGCATTCGGGAAGGGAGGACTAGTCCTCCGCTATTGTTGTGCAGCATTGCGGTCCTCACACATTATATCGTGAATACGAATTCCAGATTTGCTCTGCTTGTGATACTTGATTAGAAAAGACAACAGTTATTTTGGAAGAGGTGCAATTATGATGAGTGTCCTATAATACCAAGGACTCGGATTCGACTCCTTACAAGGTTACAGTAGGTGAAGCTCATTCTTGGAGTCCCCCCGACGTCAGAATACTGATAAAGGCGGCGTAAACCCAAATTCATGCCCTGTTTACTCATATAGTTTATTTAACTCCCTTTGTGAACAGTATTTCCGTCACATCAAGGAATGGCAGCTTGTTGAGGAAGTAATTTCCAAAGCGATGCTGGTCTCAGATGTTTAATACTAGCGCTAGGCAATATAACCGGTTTACCGGTATTTACCGGTTCAGACATGAAAACGATACGTATTGCGATACGCTGATCGAAAACCGGTATTTTGACATGCATTCGGAAAACGTCGTAACACTCGGAAATCTTCGGATATTTTCTTGTTTCATTTGAGCCAAATATTATTCACATTTTTATTTTATCATGATTAAAATTTGTTATTAAAGCTTAATCAAGCATAGTGATTTTGTTGTGTTTTTGCTCTATAAATCAAGCATTAACTCGATTATAAGTAGTTTTTTGTTTAAAAATACTTCATGCAATATATTGCAATGCATATCGCAATACATGCTTTCGCATCGCAATATATCGCAATATGAATATTCTCTGCAATACCCACCCCTATTTAATACGTTGACGAAATCCACGGTTATGGTGCTGACAAACCTAGCAACACAAGCGAACCGGGACTCGAATCTACGATAATGGAATCCTGGCACGACTAATGGAGGCAGATCTGCAAAACGAAAGACGACACCTTTAATGACTGACCACCCCGGCATTTAGCGGGAAGACCAATCACAGTGATGGGAACATATCTATATAGAGATATTAAACGACCTTCCGTGTAATACAATTTTTATTAAACGAGTTAATGATTTGGTATCAAACGAGAGAAAGCGAGTTTGATACTCAATCTTTCACGAGTTTAATATAAATGGTATTTCACTGAAGCGAGTTTAGTATTCTGTTTATTAGTATAGAAACATAAATTGATAGAAACTGCCTACGATGTGATGACTCTCAGCTTCCCGCGAGTCTAGCAAGGCCTAATGCCATTGTGACAGAGGTATTAACATTGTGACGTCATAACTGTAAACCATTATGGCGTCATAGGTCTAGCGATATTACACTAGTGTAATATTACCGTAACATATTACACTGCAGTATCTTCCACGGGCGAGTAATAAAGACTAATATTACACAACAAACATCCCTTCAACATACCTTACATGTGACCCCGAGTCCTTGAAATTGTTTCTCGAAAAGAGTCGGTCAACAGTTGCGACAGAACACTGAACTTAACAAATGAACAAAAGAAATCCATTCTACTATCATCTGTTTTAACCACACTCTGGTCATAATCTTATCTGTCAGCCCGAGTCGATTAAATGTTGTCCTCGCCTCGTGTCCGGGATGTGGGCGAACATAGATAGCGTATATGATTGGAAAATGTCTGAAAGAGTCACCTACCCAAACCTGCACCTTGTTATATCCCAATGTGATAAATCCCACACACGTAGCTTACTCTTTCGCCAGCAATGTAAGCATGTGGAACGTTGTAAACAACAGCCATTGTTTGATTAAGTTTGACTTTGAGTAACAGTGCAGAACACCTTGGTGAGAGGTTATGCCGTTATTATACGTCAAAGGGCAAGTAACTTACCTGAAATGTCTTTAAGAATAATAAAAAAAAGCTGTAATCCATAAATGTTTCATGTCTTCAACACTTTAATGTCTTACATACATTCAGGATGTCAGTTTAATGAATCTACATGACTTCATCGCTGAGACCGCCTTCGTGGCCACGTGGATGGAGCACCTACCCAGAGAATGATAAAGTTGCTGGTTCGATACCCAATCAAAGATTAATATCATACCAAAAAAACGTTAAAAAGGTGCATGTTGCTACCGGGCCTTTTGCACGGCTATAAGGAAATAACACAAGAAATGGTGGACGCCCGTATACTGAGAGGGGTATTCCTGTTAAACTGCGGAATGATATCTCAATGGGAAGGCTCTAAACCGGCATCAGTCCGGATTAGTTCAGCTGGAAGCATACTCACAGGCGTGTTTGTCCGTAACTGTATAAACCACCTCACATCTTCTGTTGTTTTCCATCACGTGAGGGGGCGCTTGGGTAGCCTATAGTCCGTCAACCTAACTTTTGGAACACGTTTTTTGCAAGTTACGTTTAAACAAAAGAAGGTAGCTGTTCCAGTACTTGCCACTGAAAATGTTGCTGTTGTCAGAAACTTTACATGACAGTTTTTTAAGTGAAATCTTTAATAGTTGACATAAATTTTAGAAATTCAACACACAATTAGGTCGTCAGTTATCATTATTAACGGAGTCAATTAAAGTTGGATACCTTTTGTTGTTCAAACGTAAAAAACCGTGTTCCAAAAGTTAGGTTGACGGACTATAGCGGTGAAAGCGTTCGGTCGTCACTCAGGTGACCCGGGTTCGATTCCCCAAATGTGTGAAGCACATTTCTGGTGTACCCCACTATTATATTGCTGGAATATTGCTAAAAGTGGCTTGCAACTAAACTCGCTCACTCACGTGAGCATAAGGCAAATTCATATATGGTAGTAACTAGGACTGGGACGGGTACTCGGGTACTCGAATCCGGGTCGGGTACAGCCGGAATCGAGTCCTATTTCTAGGATGCGTTTATTTTTGGGGATATTATATTTATGTTGCAATTTAAAATAAATCTCATTTATTCTACACTCCGCCTTTTCGTTCATCTTACTGTGGGGGAGGTGGGGTAGCCTAGTGGTTAAAGCGTTCGCTCGTCACGCTGAAGACCCGGGTTCGATTCCCCACATGGCCACAATGTTAGAAGCCGATTTCTGGTGTTCCCCGCCGTGATATTACTGGAATATTGCTAAAAGCGGCGTAAAACCAAACTCACTCACTCATCTTACTGTGGCAAAGCTCAATACTGCTGATAAATAAAATCGACCAATGCTGCCCACATACAAACACAATACCATCAACCATCTCCGGAGGATGCATGGGTGCGTTACATAGGCAAAATGTAAACAACGACAAACACCCAATTTACAACACCGACATGTGCGTTAATATTTCGAGTCAGCTCGCTATTGTCACGAAATCGTGCACACAAACGAAAGATCAAAACGCCCACATTGATTGAGTTATAGTTGGCATCTTTATTTTAGCAAATTTGATTACGAAATTATCGCCGATAATATCCCGTATCTTCCATCGTTACATGATATGTTTACCGTATATATTTTCGATCGCCAAGAGACGTAACTAAGGAAATCTTTTAGATCAATATGAATGATGTTAATGACAGAGTTTGACATTCTGATATTTAGCCTCTTGATATTTGTTAATATGAAAAGCCATTTATTATCTATTTGTTTTCTAATCCACAATGAGGACTAACTAAAAGTTCAATCCATTAATTGTTTGTTAACCGTGGGTGTGCTTGTAAATTTGTCGACTCTCAGTGGGATAATATTACAGACAGATATATTCATAATCTTCAATTACTTTGACACATAATTATCATTTTGAAATGTCCTCTACACGTCTACCACAAAACGTTTTGAAAGTTTTACTGAGGCCTTGAAATTTGTAAGCCCGATCTCTTTAAAAAGAGCATGTTCGATTGCACCTCAAAACCTATGAAATGTAAACACCAAAGGCTGGAGCTGTTGGAATGTTGCTCGACATGAAAGCAAAGTTGACCATTTGAAAGTTAAAATCATCAGTTTTCTCATACAGCATAATGGAGAGGTGTTTTGTCACTCTGAACCTTTATGCATAGATCTAAATATGAAACAGTTGAGGCGGTCTCATTTCTCTCCTTAATTTCAAGTTCAGGTGGGTAAATCAGTGGAAGGGAATTACATGTATAAACAGTTAAATCGGTAATCTACTGTCATAACATATAAAAAGCTCGCGCCTGTGAAATATCAACAAAACATTAGAAAAATAGCTCACATCAAAGCCTTCACCGAGTATTCACCGGACAACCCGCTTCCAAGCTGCGCGAACCTATTTCACTGCGCATGTGCTATGAGCGCAGCCCAGCTGTTGAAACCACTTCAATTCCCCCAAGCGCTGGGGGAAAATTAGTGAATCGTTTGAACTCCGATTTCGCGCGGGTTTTTTAATCGCGTTATTTTCAACTTTATAAGTTGAATTTGCATTTTTGATGATTTGTTTCGGTAAGTCCATACCGAAAGGTATCAGAATCTGCATAGTTGTGTTTTACGTTGCATGTGACCTTTAAGGTAAACTTCTTCGACAAATTACCTTGTTTTGATTTGACCAACCCAAGCAGAAATTCTGATTCATATATGCATAAAGAAACAGATCCGCACGGAGGGGAGTACAATTGGTGCCCATGGGGATTCTTACTTGTTGTCTAAATGATTTACCCCCAAATTTTACAAGTTTATTATCAATGAGGAAGTCCAGCATTTCACACATTGTTTTCTCAGTAAACTACAGATGACATTCGCTTCCATTTTGGACTAATTGCCCTGAACCTCTAAAGACAGATGTGTGGTTATATCTTTTCACCATGTATATTTACAATTGCCCCCGTGGATCAAGTCATGATGCTTGTCGTTAGGTTTGTCTCGTGGGATGTATATATTGGTGTACAACGCTGCAAAAACACAATGTGTTGCAATTAAACTTGATCCGTTTGTGATGTGCACAACAAACACCACCACTCCTGTGTACCACAAACACAAAACTATCAAAGTACAATAAATACAAAACAATCAATGTTGTGTAAATAAATACAAAACCATCAAATGCTGTGCAAAACAAATACAAAACCATCAATATAAAATAAATACAAAACCAGCAATGTTATGTACCACAAATACAAAAACATCAATGTTTTGTACAATAAATGCAAATTCATCACTGTTGTATGTCACAAATACAAAAACCATCAATGTTTTCTACCACTAATACAAAAACAATCAATAGTGTGTACCACGAATACAAAACATCAATGCTGTGTATCACAAATACAAAACAATCAACGCTGTGTATCACAAATACAAAACCTTCAACGCTGTGTACCACAAATACAAAACCATCAATGTTGTCTACCACAAATACAAAACCATCAATGCTGTGTACCACAAATACAAAACAATCAATGCTGTGTATCACAAATACAAAACCATCAATGCTGTGTATCACAAATACAAAACCATCAATGCTGTGTATCACAAATACAAAACCATCAATGCTGTGTACCACAAATACAAAACCATCAACGCTGTGTATCACAAATACAAAACCATCAATGCTGTGTACCACAAATACAAAACAATCAACAAAACCATCAATGTGTATCACAAATACAAAACCATCAATGCTGTGTATCACAAATACAAAACCATCAATGCTGTGTATCACAAATACAAAACCATCAATGCTGTGTATCACAAATACAAAACCATCAATGCTGTGTACCACAAATACAAAACCATCAATGTTGTGTACCACAAATACAAAACAATCAATGTTGTGTACCACAAATACAAAACAATCAATACTATGTATCACAAATACAAAACCATCAACGCTGTGTATCACAAATACAAAACCATCAATGCTGTGTACCACAAATACAAAACCATCAATGTTGTGTATCACAAATACAAAACCATCAATGCTGTGTACCACAAATACAAAACCATCAATGTTGTGTACCACAAATACAAAACAATCAATACTATGTATCACAAATACAAAACCATCAACGCTGTGTATCACAAATACAAAACCATCAATGCTGTGTACCACAAATACAAAACAATCAATACTATGTATCACAAATACAAAACCATCAATGCTGTGTATCACAAATACAAAACCATCAATGCTGTGTATCACAAATACAAAACAATCAATACTATGTATCACAAATACAAAACCATCAATGCTGTGTATCACAAATACAAAACCATCAACGCTGTGTATCACAAATACAAAACAATCAATACTATGTATCACAAATACAAAACCATCAATGCTGTGTATCACAAATACAAAACAATCAATGCTGTGTATCACAAATACAAAACCATCAACGCTGTGTATCACAAATACAAAACCATCAATGCTGTATCACAAATACAAAACCATCAATGCTGTGTATCACAAATACAAAACCATCAATGCTGTGTATCACAAATACAAAACCATCAAATCACAAATACAAAACCATCAATGCTGTGTATCACAAATACAAAACCATCAATGCTGTGTATCATACAAAACCACAAATACAAAACAAAACCAATGCTGTGTATCACAAATACAAAAAACCATCACAAAACGCATCAATGCTGTGTATCACAAATACAAAACCATCAATGCTGTGTATCACAAATACAAAACCATCAACGCTGTGTATCACAAATACAAAACCATCAATGCTGTGTATCACAAATACAAAACAATCAACGCTGTGTATCACAAATACAAAACCATCAATGCTGTGTATCACAAATACAAAACAATCAATGCTGTGTATCACAAATACAAAACATCAGTGTTTTCTACCACAAATACAAAAACAATCAATGCTGTGTATCACAAATACAAAACAATCAATGCTGTGTATCACAAATACAAAACATCAGTGTTTTCTACCACAAATACAAAAACCATCAATGCTGTGTATCACAAATACAAAACCATGAATGCTGTGTATCACAAATACAAAACCATGAATGCTGTGTATCACAAATACAAAACATCAGTGTTTTCTACCACAAGTGTGTGTGTGTGTGTGTGTGTGTGTGTGTGTGTGTGTGTGTGTGTGTGTGTGTGTGTGTGTGTGTGTGTGTGTGTGTGTGTGTGTGTGTGTGTGTGTGTGTGTGTGTGTGTGTGTGTGTGTGTGTGTGTGTGTGTGTGTGTGTGTGTGTGCTGTGATTGACATGATGAGATACTCAGAGCATATTTATATCAATCGTTTTCAAATAGTGATGTGAACCACAGGGACCACGACTCACCGAAAACAGGCCTTGACATTCAAGTGATCTGAGCAGATCCGCAGAAACTGAATTGGGCCATCCGATTCGTGGAAAATATAATATATACAGTAAGATTTTGCCTGTTTGCGAATGGGCGCGAAGTATGAACTTTGCAATATTCCTTCTATTTTGGTTGATGTACGGAACAGTAAATTGTTAAGAATAATTTTAGAGGTTGTAAAAATGGATTCGATATTGATTCATTTCTAGGAAATTATATTTATAAATATTTAACCTCTAAAATAATTCTTACAAATTTACTGCTCAGGTCACTTGAATGTCAAGGCCATCTATGGCCGACAAGTGTGTATGATTTCCGATGGTTTTGGAGAAAATGTCTACTTACTGTCGAGGAAATGATTTGTAGATGTTGCAATAAGATTTTAGACCCGTGGAATGCCGCTGCCGATCGAATCTAGCCCTACATAGGAGCTGTCAACGTGCCTGGAATTAATAAACGAATTTAAAAGGTGAGTTTTCGCTGTCTTGGCTGATCCATGATTTTGGCTTGGAATTGCGAAGGTAGCTGTTTTTGGTGAGTCGTGGCGCATAACTTTTGAAATAATGATCCGATTGTGACCATTTATAGCTCCTTTTGTAGTGAAATCATCTAGCTTTCGATCCGTAGGCCTCGACGGGGCCTTAAAAATAGTTTACGTGGTGAAATTTAACTTTGATCGAGGAGGGTGTGGTTCCGTCGTTACATCCCTTTCATTTTATATAGTACTAGGGTAGGGTCTATATAGCTATATGTCTTTCTAACGATGTTTCTAAGCGTGACACGCCCCCGTGATGTGAACGGGTGCTCGCGAAAAGTTGAGCGCATCCTGTTCCGTCATAATCATATGCAAAAGCTACTCAAATGTTAACCTGAAGAAAGATCGTTAATGTAGTGCTAAAGTCTTTTCTGGTATTATCTGGATAAATCTATTCAAAGTATGTTCAAACAACAACAACTGAACCCATGACATGGTGGTATAGTTATATCTCTTTTTTCTCAATGTGCCTTGGGCGTCAGTGAATCAAAATCACTAGGAGCGGAGACTTCACGAATAGCCTGATTCCCAGGACTGGTTGTTGCTTTTCTAATTATTTTTTCCCATGGGTACCCGGATGATATCCCACAATTTTTAACGTGTTCGCGACATAAAGGCAACACTTTTATAAATGGTCAACTTCTTTAACTTCTTTATTTTAAGGAACACGATGTTTCGGAGAATACTCTTAGTCCTTCATCAGGTGAATGAAAAAGCTAGGCAACGGATAGGTGGCGTGGACTTTCTCTGTGTTTGGCACGGGGAGACCCACTCGCTCATTCCCTGCGTCTCTGTGGGCGTCGCCTATGTATGTCCATGTCCACAGCTTGGGATAGGCGACGACCAATCCTTGGGTTGGTTTATTGGTTGGTTTGTTGTTTAACGCCGCACTCAGCAATATTCCGGTTATATGGCGGCGGTCTGTAAATAATCAAGTCTGGACCAGACAATCCAGTGATCAACAACATGAGCATCGTTTTACGCAATTGGGATACGATGACATGTGTCAACCAAGTCAACAAGCCTAACCATCCCGTTAGTCGCCTCTTACAACAAGCATGGGTTGCTCAAGATCAATTCTAACTCGGTTCTTCACGGGTGCCAATCCTTGGGTGCTATCCACCTTCATGGAAGGCCATTTACCACAGTGGAAGCAAGGTCCACCGGTATTTTCGGAGATCCAGCGCACTCCGGTGCCGTCTTTCCCGGGGCAAGGCGAAGTTTTTTCAGGAAATCCAACCTCTTCTGGACAAATCCACCTGGGCGAGGAACCTATGGGTTACACCTCCACGTACTTTCTTGAAGAAGGACGGCGGCTTCCGTCTCAGTTCTCATACAACAGGGCGTCCTGCTTGCATGCACACCATTTCTTGCTGGCTTGTTTCCGTCATTGGTTCGGCTTACAATGCTAATATTTGTACAGTCTTTGATACAGATGCATGTACATGCTCCAAGGAAGACTCTCATCAAAGAACTGAAAACACATTGGGGTTTGATTAGGTTTTGTCTTCCATCGTCCGACTGAGCCACCAATCGAGGTTAAACAGGTGCTTTTGGGCCGGTGTTGAAGAAATATCCGGTTGTCGTGAGGTCGTGACTTACGTTCGATGTTTCCTCCGGGTGGCACTGGTGTCGGAGGTTTCAGGATATGGTCGTGTCCGTGTCACGTTCAAGGGTGTCACGTGCCAGGTTTTTTCATTAAGTCAAGAGGTGGGTCACACTGCTGATTTGTATCTGGGTAATCTGATCTTGTAAAATCAATAAATCTGCCATTTTTGGAACAAATATACAACCTTTTCCAAGGTGTGATATCGTTGCAGATTTATTTTAACCCAGTCTCATTGAATTAAAATGTTTTGAACCCAAATTATCCAAGGAAGATTACTTTTTCACAAATCCGTGAAGGTACGGGTCAGAATTGGTCTTCAGAAACCCATGCTTGTCGTAAGAGACGACTAACGGGATCCGGTGGTCTGGCTCGCTGACTTGGTTGACACATGTCATCGTACCCTAATTGCGTAGATCGATGTCCATGCTGTTGATCACTAGATGGTCTGATCCAGACTCGACTATTTACACACCGCTACCATATATAAAC